GCAATCAGGCAGGCAGAATGGTTAGGGGTGATTATCCTATCTAACAAAAGAGTAATATGCAAATTGACCATCACTCCACACAAGATGGCTGCCCCTATGTGGTCAAAGATGGCTGCCCCTATGTGGACACAAGATGGCCAGCAGGGGAGGGATCAGGCCTGCAAGGGAGGGCAGTTGTAGGCAATCGGGCCAGCAGAGGAGGGCTGTTGGGAGGGACCAGGCCTGCAAGGGAGGGCAGTTGGGGGTGATCATGCCTGCAGGGGAGGGCAGTTAGGGGTGACCAGGCCTGCAGTAGAGGGCTTTAGGGGTGATCAGGCCTGCAGGGGAGGGCAGTTAGGCATCAATTAGGCTGGCAGGGATCAGTTAGTCATCAATCAGGTTGGAAGGGGGGTAGTTAGGAGGTGATCAGGCTGGCAAGCAAAAGTGGTTAGGGGCAATCAGGAAGGCAGACAGGTGAGCAGTTGGGAGCCAGCAGTCCTGGATTAGTAGGATTGGGCCTAATGGGAAGTTGGATGTCCCTTGAGGGTCCCAGATTGGAGAGGGTGCAGGCTGGGCTCAATGATACACAACCCATACATGAATTTTGTAAACCACATTTCTAGTATATAGATATCTATAAATAGATAATTTATTTTGAGTATCTACAGTAACTCCTTAGCATTTTCATATAAGTTTTTAAAATAAGTTTATCATTTTGTACAAAAAATCTACTTGGTTTTAATTGAGATTGCACTGATAAACAGAACAATTTGAGGGAAAATGACATCTTAAAAATGTTGATAAAGCCGAAACCGGTTTGGCTCAATGGTAGAGTGTCGGTCTGCGGACTGAAAGGTCCCAGGTTCGATTCTGGTCAAGGGCATGTACATTAGTTGCAGGCACATCCCTCGTAGGGGGTGTGCAAGGGGCAGCTGGTCGATATTTCTCTCTCATCGACGTTTCTAGCTCTCTATCCCTCTCTCCTCCTCTCTGAAAAAATCAATAAAATATATTTTTAAAAATGTTGATAAAAATAAGGTTTATCATTGTTCTAAGTTTTAAAGATTATTAAAACAATGTTTTGCACCTGGACACCATGGTTCAGTGTTTGAGCATCAACCTATGAACCAGGGAGTCACAGTTTGATTTGTTATATATATTTATTTAAACAGATAAGCATTGTTCTAAAATATGTGTCAAATAATTCTAGTAGCTGGCCTTTGAGGAATGCTCCTGCTGATTATCATTCATGTTAATTTTGTTTCTTTACTAGAGGCCTGGTGCAGGAAATTTGTGCGTTGTGGAGGGGTCCCTCAGCCCGGCCTGCACCCTCTCGCAATCCAGGAGATGTCCTACCAATAGTTAGACATCCCTTTTGCAATCCAGGACCGCTGGCTCCTAACTGCTTGCCTGTTGGCCTCATTGCCCTTAACTGCTCACCTTCCTGCCTAATCACCCCTAACCTGCCTGGTTACCCCTAACTGCTCGCCTGCCCGCCTGATAGCCCCTAACCACTCTGCCTGCCTGCTTGACTACCCCTAACTTCTCTGCCTGCCTTATTGCCCCTAACCTCTCTGCCTACCTGTCTGATCGCCCCTAACTGCTTCTGCCTGTCTACCTGATAGCCCCTACCGGCCCGCCCCTGCTGGCCAATTTGATTCTGATTGGTCAGTTTCTATGCCAGTCAGCATCAAAAGCTCTGCCTCCTAGGCAGCCTTTGGCTCTTCACAGTTGACCCAGATTTGGTTCTGATTGGTCAGTTTTTATGCCAGTCAATGTCTCCGGCCTCTCTTCAGGCATGATCAGAGAGATTGGGCTAATTAGCAGCCTCCATGGAGGCCCGAGAGAAACAGAGGCATGGCTGCTGACGAAGCCCAGAGTAAAAGAGAGAGCAACAGCTGGTCAACAGCTGCCTTGGAGGCTGCAGATCAGACCCTGTCTCTCTCTTTGGGTCTCTCTCTGGGCCTGATCCGCAGCCCCTTGGCAGTCTGTGCTGGATCACCACGCCCGCACCAGTGGCAATCAGTGTCACTGCCCTGCACTGTCTGCAGGATTGACTTCCGGTATTTGGTCGAGCCTTCAGTTAGTCTTTATGAACCCTGGGTTTTTCTATGTTAGGATATGTGTGGTTTCCTATGCCTGCTTCTTGGTTGTTGTCTTTGAATTATTTCCTGGTTCTCTAAGGTCCAGAGTAGATTTGCCATCCTCCAGAGAGGCTATGATTTGACTTCTGAGGGGTCCTATTATATATTCATTGGCATCGGAGATGTTTCAGGCATTAAACTCTTTGTTTAGGCCAAGCGTAAAGGACTTTTGGTTTCCAGGGTGCATATCTTCTCTAGGGTTAGTTGGTTTCAGCTTTGAATACTGTCCCTTTTCCTCCATTTGTTGTTACTCAGACTTTTTAATTTTCTCTTTGGATTTTGACTCTCATCCAAAAATTGGCTTGCAACTTCTCTATTGCAGATCATTATTGTTTTTAGATGTTGATTTAAAGTTGTTGTTGTTGTTTTTTATCGTGTTTTTCATTGCCTTTAGCAAGAGGAAAAGTTAGAGCCGTGACTGCATTTTTAAAAAAAAGAAAAACAAAAGTAAATGAACTTATTTTCAGGTTAAGAAAGCAGAAAAAGAATAAATATGGGGATTTATTACGATAAGGATTAAACAAAATTTAGTGAAATAAAGGGTGTCCTAAAAAAGTATACATGTACATTTTTAATCGCTCAATTGATGTTTCTTTTCAGATTTAACCCATTGGAATTAATAATTAGTAAAAGTGTGTATATAATTTTGGGGGACACCCTGTAGAAGAAAAGCAGTATTTCAATAAAGTTTAGAACTGGTTCTCTGAAAAGATCAATAAAATAATGAAACTTTTGGCAAGTCTGAGTAGAAAGTAAAGAGAAGACACATGCAAATACATTAGGGATAAAAGTGGGAACATACTAGACATATGAAAGAAATTAAGTGATTACACTAGAGACTATAAATTATTAAAATATTTTATACATTAATAATGCTTCTTCACAGACACCCTATTTAGCATTAGTTTGATACATAATACACAGTAGTATATTTAAAGAAAAAATTTCTGCTTGTAATTTTTCATTTGATACTATATTCCTAGAAAATAAAGTTTAATTTATGTGTTTCAGTCAAAAAGTAGACCAGATTTACTTTTCTTTTTATTTTTTTTTAGTACTACTGTTACTCACTTCATGAGTCACATTCTTTTTCTACAGTTATTAAAATCATGCTTCATCTTTCATCTTTGGTCTTCTTCCTTTCCTCACCTCATTGTATAAGCTTATTAATTTTCTATCATTGGATTCATAGAATAGATATGGTGCATGTGTGCAGGAGGAAGCATCATGGATTACATGTGTTCCTAACTTTTTATAAAACTTTAGGCAACCTAAGGCCAATAAAATTTTGTATATTTGCCTTTCTGTTTAGAGTAAATAAGCATATTTTATATGTCTATCAACAGAAATGTAGTTTCACAAATACATTAAGATGAAAAAAGCTAGTATAACTTTCTATAAGTTGCAGTAATAAGAGATATTATGGAGGGTAAATCATAGCAAACTAATTTGTCTTGTTGTACTCTTATATTGTTTTTTTTTTTTTTTTTTTACATTACGAGGCAGTGTTTTTCTATTAGAGTTGACTTTGAACCTAATGGAATTATATTTTCATTAAAAAAAAAAACTTGCAATAACACAGAAGAAAGACTAGGATAACCAGTGTTGCATCAGTAATACACTTGATGAGAGTTGATATTGCAACTTAATTTTGGTACTTATCAAGCTTCCTTTTTTTGTGTGTGTTTATGCATTTTTTGCTTTTACATTACTTTGCATATTCTTTTATCAAGATTTTACAATATCAGAGAATGTTAGCAAAGGGAAAAAAAAACTTTGAGTACTTGTCAAATCCTTCATAGTACAGAAGAATTGAGTATCAGAAAAGTTACATCAGTGTTTTTCAGACTATCTTTAATGAAGAATCAGAATTGAAACTGTAAAACCCCCACCACCACACACACACACACACACACACACACACACACACACACACACTTCCCATGCCCCAAGTTTGTTGAGGACCAATACAAGGCCCTATTATGCATGCCTGGTTCCAAACTTGTGTTCTGTGATTAGCCACCTAAGTTTAATAATAACCACACTGATAGACATTCTGCATGGTCCACTGGTGATTCCATAAATTTGTGGCAATCTTAAGTTGTTATAAATGCTTTCAAATGCTTATTCTCAACTTTTGTATTTTTCTTATCATACACTGCTAAAACGCAGTGCATGGACCACACTTTGAAGTGGAACTAGGATAGGAGCAATGCACATGTTTGATCCACTGATGGAGACAATTATCACTTTAAATGTTAGTGCAGAGCAATAGCTTTCAAATTAATTTAGTGATAAACACTCCAAAAAGAGCTAGCTAGAAATCCTGTGGTAGAAAACAATTTTATCATGTGCAAATGAAAAATTTAAGTAAACCTATGGAAAGGTATAAATTGAGGAACATAGAGGGAAATCTCATTTATTTTGTTTTGTATTTTTATTTCTGAGAGGAAGGTAGAGGGAGAGAGAGATAGAAACACCAATGGTGAGAGAGAAACATTGACTGGCTGTCTCCTGCATGCCTCCTACTGGGGATCGAGCCCCCAACCCAGGCATGTGCCCTTGACTAGAATGGAACCCTTCAGTCCATAGACCAAAGCTTTCTATCCACTGAACCAAACTTACTATGACAAAATCTCACTTTCTTAATTGCCTTCATTATTAATATGTCATCATAAATTTGAGTATATTTTTTGTTTTCACTTATACATATATATTTAACATTTAAATTTTATTAAATAAAAATATTTTAAGCAATTAAGAGATTCAGAAAAGGGAAAAATGTAACAAATAACCACTTACCCATTATTCAGAATTTGATTATTGTTATCTATATAGTTTTTATTTAATGCTAACTTCTTTGTTTTATGCTTAAAGCCATATCCAGAAGACCCAGCAGTTTATAAACCACTTTCCCAGGAAGAACTGCAAAGGATAAAGAATGAGAAAAAACAGAAACAAAATGAGAGAAAACAGAAAATTTCAGAAAATCGTAAACATTTGGCAAGTGTACGTGTTGTACAAAAAAACCTCGTCTTTGTCGTAGGTCTGTCTCAGCGCCTAGCAGACCCAGAGGTAAGTCCTCTTCTACCTTTTATCTCAATTTGACATTTTTTTCTTTTTGCTTCTCTTATTGGGAAAGAAGCTGACCCTGCCCAACTGCAGAATTCTACGAAAAATATTGAAACTTAGGAGAAAATGGGAAATATTTTAAAATAATCACTAAGAAACCAGTAACTAGTTGTGATCTTAGGTAGGTTTTAAAATCTTTTCTGGCTTCATTTTCTTCAGTTGTAAAACTAGGCAGTTGTACTAGATTTCTGAAGTCTTCTTTAGTGTTAATAATCTGAAACTTAGATAATAGTTATGTTTTGCTGTTAATGCTAACATGTGACTCAACTACTTTCTATAGCTTTATAAGGACCAACAGTGGAGATGCAGTTACATAAACTTACTAGAGATCTGTATTCTTTTAAATCTTGTCCCAGTAGTTCTTATTTATAGAACAGTTATAGAACTGTTGTTATACTGTATCATCATTCTTTTTTTTTTTTAATAAATCTTTATTGTTCATATTATTACAAATGTTCCTCATTTTTTTCCCCCTCCATTGCTCCCCTCCACCAGGTTCCCACCCCACCCTCTGCCCTTTCTCCACCCCCCATTGTCCTCATCCATAGGTGCACAGTTTTTGTTCAGGGTCTTCCTGCACCCCCCATTCCCCTTTTCCCCGAGAATTGTCAGAATTGTCCCCTTCCATACCTCTGATTCTGTTATATTCAACAGTTAATATTGTTCATCAGGTTTTTTAATTCCCTTGGCTTTTAGTTTTACTTGTTGATAGTTACATATTTGTTGGTCATAATTTTTATATCTTCTTCCTCTTCCTAAAGAACCCCTTCAGTAATTCATATAATGCTGTTTTGGCAGTGATGAACTCCTTTAGCTTTTTTTTATTTGTGAAGCTCTTTATCTGGCCTTCGATTCTGAGTGATAGCTTTGCTGGATAGAGTATTTTTGGCTGTAGGTTCTTGCTATTCATCACCTTGAATATTTCTTGCCATTCCCGTCTGGCCTGCCTGGTTTCTGTTGAGAAATCAGCTGACAATCGTATGGGTGCTCCTTTATAGGTAACTATCTGCTTTGCTCTTGCTGCTTTTAATATTCTCTTTGTCTTTTGCTCTTGGGATTTTAATTATGATTTGTCTTGGTGTGGTCCTCTTTGGGTTCCTTTTGTTTGGGGTTCTGTGCTCTTCCTGGACTTGTAAGTCTATTTCTTTCCCCAGGTGGGGGAAGTTTTCTGTCACTATTTCTTCCAGGATGTTCTCGGTATCTTGCTCTCTCTCTCCTTCTGGGACCCCATAATTCTGATGTTGGTTCGCTTGAAGTTGTCCCAGAGGTTTCTTACACTATCTTCAACTTTCTGGATTCTCTTATCTTCTTGTTTCTGTGGAGGAATGTCCTCTGGCTCTTTGTGTTCCAAATCTTTGACTTGATTCTTGTGATCTTCCATTCTGTTTTTAGGACTCTGTATAATATTTTTTATTTCAGACAATGTATTCTTTATTTCTAGTTGATCCCTTTTCATATCCTCATAAGTCTTGTTTATTTTATCGGCCTTTTCTAGGAAATTCTTGAAAAACCTCATATGCGTGATTTTGAACTCTATATCCAGTCGCTTCTTGTCCTCCATTTCTTTTGTCTGTGATCTGTTTCCTTGTCTCAGCATTTTCACAGCTTCCCTGAGTTGGTAGGGTGACTTTGTGTGGTAAGGTGACCTATATGGTTTAGTGGGTCAGCCTCCCAGTTACCTGAGGTGGACAGTCTTGGTGTAGCCCTTTGTGGGCTGTGTGTGCAGTCTTGTTGTTAAGCCTTGCTTGTTATTGGTATCACTGGGAAGCATTGATCTCCAAGCCAATTGGCTATGAGGATCAGAAGTGTCTCAGCTAAGAGGGTTTCTGTATTCTGCTTGGATGGGGCGGAGTCTCGGGGTGGCACAGCTAAGCTTTGGTGAATCCCGTAAGATTAGTTGCAAGCGCGCGCACCTGTTTGATATAGGCGCAGATAAGCTTTGATTCTTGTCTGTCCCTCCCTAGGAGAGCCCTATTCGTGGTGAATGAGAAAGCTAGCCACTGGAAGGGCTTCTGTGCTCTGCTTGTATCGGGCGGAGTCTCGAGGTGGTGCAGACAAGCTTAGATCAGCCCCTCCCTACGAGGGTCTGGTTTCTGAGTCCCACAGTAATGGCTGCTGGCTTCACACACCTCGGAGAGATCTCTGCCCACTGCCTGACAGTCTGGCCTCTCTCTGTCTGGCGCTGACTTTCAGAGCAATAGGGTGCTTCTGTTTTCCTCCTGAACAAAAAAGCTAGCCGTGCATTAGCTGTGTGCCCTCTCCTCGCGCAGGGAGTAAGCCAGTAGGGAAATCTGGCAGCTGCATTTTTGTGCACACATTTCTCCGCACCTTCACAGTTCCTGAGGTTCAGTGTACCTTCTCTCTCCTTCCCAGATGGTAGAACTTACTCTCAGCCAGCTGTCTGGCTTCAGGGTGATGTTTCCCCTTTTTTCCAGTTCTAAATTTCAATTTGTTGTGGTAGGCTGCATTCAGGTGTCTACCCTATGTCGCCATCTTGGTTTCTCCTGTATCATCATTCTTTACTCATTCATTTCAAGCCAATTTTCTGGAAAGAGGGAGAATTTGATGGAAAGAAAATAATGGACCAGGTTCTTTGTTATTTGTTTGTGTACGGGGGAGATCTTTTTTTTTTTTTTTTTTTTTAATATATATTTTATTGATTTTTCACAGAGAGGAAGGAAGAGGGATAGAGATAGTTAGAAACATCGATGAGAGAGAATCATTGATCAGCTGCCTCCTGCATGTCCCCTACTGGGGATATGCCCACAACCAAGGTATATGCCCTTGACCGGAGTCGAACCCGGGACCCTTCAGTCTGCAGGCTGACGCTCTATCCACTGAGCTAAACCGGTTTTGGCTGGACAGGGGAGATCTTAACCCTTTTGTTTATTACATCTTTTCTCTCCTTCTACCACCAGCTTTATTAGGGCAATGTTGAACTTATAACATTAGTCCTGATACCTTTGAATATATATCTACTAATTTTTAGTTTCTGATATATTAGATTAATGGGAAGGCAGATGGAAGCTGATTGATAGCCAGTAGGAGAGAGCTGAATTTTGGGGATCTGCCTAAGTGTTGTTGAAAATATTTTGGAGTAATATTCATTATGATTCCAATCAGAGGGTGGATTGTAACGAATATACTAAGGAAGTTGGGAATCATCAGACTTGGCTAAGTAAGCTAATGACCCCAGAAAGAGGAAATTTAAGGAGTCTAACCTTTATAAATTGATTTTATAAAATTCAATTTAGAGAGAATAATAAATGTTTATTGATTGTGAGTTTATTATGTATCAAGGAGGAGAAAGTGAGGGAGATTTTACTAACAAGGCTCTATCATTGACAATAAGTATAGTGACAACTCAAGAATTACTAGGATCCTAGGTCCAGGGATGCTGGCAGTAGTGGGCTACATGATTTTCAGAAGACCAGGTTCTTTCTGAAGCCAAAAGTATGGGTCTAGAATTCATATAGGATACCAAAATTGGTTTGGCTCAGTGGATAGAGCGTCGGCCTGCGGACTGAAAGGTCCCAGGTTTGATTCTGGTCAAGGGCATGTACCTTGGTTGTGGGCACATCCCCAGTGGGGGGTGTGCAGGAGGCATCTGATCCATGTTTCTCATCGATGTTTCTAACTCTCTATCCTTCTTCCTTCCTCTCTGTAAAAAATCAATAAAATATTTTAAAAAATAGAATTCATATGGGAAAACACTTCTTCACTAAGAGATATTAAGAAGAGAACTTGCTCAGCCAGAGTGGCTTAGTGATAAGCATCAACCTATGAACCAGGAGATCACAATTCAATTCCTAGTTATGGCACATGCCAGGGTTGTGGGCTCGATCCTCAATGTGGGTTGTGCAGGAGGTAGCTGACCAGTGATTCTCATCATTGATGTCTCTATCTTTCCCTCTTTGAGATTAATAAAAATATATTAAAATAAAAAAATGGAGAGAGCTCATCTTAGACCTATGAATAATCCCTAGCAGCCAATTTTTCCTTTTTCTTTAAAAATTTTAAAAAAATATTTTTTATTGATTTCACAGAGGAAGGTTAGGGAGAGAGAGATAGAAATAGAAACATCAATGATGAGAGAGAATCATTGATTGGCTGCCTCCTGCAGACCCCCTACAGGGGATCGAGTCCACAATCCGGACATGTGCCTTGACTGGAATTGAACCTGGGACCCTTTAGTCCACAGGTTGACACTCTATCCACTGAGTAAAACTGGCCAGGGCCAATTTTTTCTTTTTCTAAGCTAGCACTTAAATCTCCTGGCAGGCATAAGGCCATTTCACCTTTGACCATTTCCTTGAATGCCACCACAACTTTTCATCAACCCTTCTTTCTTTCTTTCTGTTCTGCCTTTTTTCCTAACCAGAAGGCACTCTTGCCACTGCACATTTTTTATTTACCTGCCTCTTTTCACTCCTACTAATCTTATTGATTAGAAACTACTTTTGCATTTTTGGATCTGCTACTCCAGTAAATTCATGGAAATTTTATCTTGATTTGATAACTCTTACTAGATGTCTCTGTTTTTACAGAGATTATTACCTTTAGGATATGTAGATTATTTACTATTCATCAAGCAGAAGTGAGTTATCATAAAGATCATCATCCTCATCAGCTTTACACTGAATAGGCTGAAGAGGAGCGGGAAGAAGAGAGGAGTTGGTCTTGCTTTCTCAGGGGCTGCAGAGGCAAAAAGAGATGGAAGGGGAAGCAAGCACACACAGTGTAACTTTGTAGAAAAATACATTGTAATTTCTATTGGGCTTTTTTACTTTTTCATTTCTCTAAAAATGTTTCTGTATGGTGCCAGTCCTCTTCTACTGTTTGGCTTGGTTTCAGCTGTGTCATAGAAAGGCCCATCCTATCTAATAATAGACTAATATGTAAATTAAGCATCACTCTGCCACAAAAAATGGCGGCCCCCATAGCCCCAAGATGGCGGCCCCCGGTCCCCTCAGCTCTGCTGCTGGAGTGTCCGGCCTGTCTGTAGGAGCAGCGAGGCTGGATCCACCTCCAGAGGGTTTTTGATCCGCCCCAGACACATCGGTCAGAGCCCAGACACCAGGGCATAGAGGCTTCCTTAGCACAGAGGCAGCGGGAAGCCCCAGGCCCGGCAAACAGAGCCCGGGCAGCAGGGCTTGGGGGCTTCCTTAGCGAGGTGGTGGCAGGAACACCCCAGGCCCTACAGACAGCCAGGACAACAGGACATGGACTTCCTTAGTTTGTCAGTGTCAGCGAAGCACCCAGGCCTGGCAGAGCACACTGCAAGGCATTGGGGCTTTCTTCGCATGGTGCATGGTGAAGCAGGCAGAGAGTAGAGAGCAGGGCATGGGGGCTTCATTTCCATGGCTGCAGCAAAACCTCCAGGCCCGCAGAGAGCAGAGAACCATGGGGAGTGGGCCTAAGCCATCAGTAGGACATCCCCTGAGAGTTCCTGGATTGTAGAGCGAGCATGTTGGGCTGAGGGACCCCTGTGCATAAATTTCGTGCACCAGGCCTCTAGTGTCATATAAGGAGTCAAAAGCATTCTTGAATAATTGGAACACTCTGCCAGATTATCTAATGTCACTTTGTTTTCTGGCACATCTTCTTCCTTAGTGTCTGGCTCTGGTTTGCAAGCACTTATCTTCAGCAAGTCGTCTTCTTTTAATTCTTTTAATGTGATGTCTACTGACTTTTTAATTTCTCCAAGATCCATATCTTGAAACCCTTCACTCTTTTTTGCCATATTCACAACCTCTTTAGTGATTTCTTTATTGGCTCTGTCATAAAATCTGTGAAGTCATGTACAACATCTGGACAGTTTTCTTGAGCAGGAATTTATTCTTTTGGGTTGATGGCTCCACAACTTTCTCTATAAAAACAATGCATCTTCAGTGGTGGAACCTCCAGGCTTCTATGATGCTCTCTCTATCAGGGTCTCTTCCATAACATTGGTAGTCCTTTCCAGAGAGTCCTGTGTGTAATGAGCCTTAAAAATCCTTGTGACCTTGACCTAAAGGCTGAGTTAAGAGACATAGTGTTTGGGGGCAAGTAGATCACTTCAACATCTTCACTGTTTATCTGATGGGGTTCTGTGTGACCAGGTGCATTGTCTAAAATCAAAAGAGCTTGAAAAGGCAGTCTCTTATTGGTAAGGTACTTCCTGACTTTAGGGACAAAGCATTGATGGAGCCAATCCAGAAAAGGGTTCTCATTGTCCAGGCCTTCATTTGTACAACTAAATGACTGGCAGCAGTAGGTGTGTGTGTGTGGGGGGGGGGGGGTGAAGGTGGTGGGAGTGGTGGTGTTAGCAGCTTTATAGATAAGGGCATTCTTATCGTAAACCTGAATTGAATGCATTTGTACAAAAAGGTAGTTAGCCTGTCACTTCCTGCCTTAAATCCTGGTGCTTACTTCCCTGTTTACTAATATCTGTTGTGGCATCTCCCCCCCCCCCCCCCCCCCCCCCCCCCCCCCCCCCCGCGCTGGTTCCCCAGAATAGGGCATTTTCATCTGTATTATAACCTCTTTAGGCAGATATCCTTTCTCAATTATTTTCTTAATGGCATCTGGGAACTTGTCTGCTGCCTCCTGTTTGGCAGAAGCTACTTCTCCTGTTATCTTGACTTCTTTTTTAAGTCAACCCTCTTTCTAAAATTATCAAACCATCCTTTGTTGGCATTAAATTCTTTAACTTTAGCATTAGCCAGTTTGGCTCAGTGAATAGAGTGTTGGACTGCAGAATAGAAGGTCCTGGATTCAATTCTGGTCAAGAGCACATGCTCCAGTTGCGGGCTCTATCCCTAGCAGGAGATATGCAGGAAACAGTTGATCAATAACATTCTCTCATCATTGATGTTTCTATCTCTCTTTCCCTCTCCCTTCCTCTCTGAAATCAATAAAAATATATTTTTTAAAATGTCTTTAACTTTAGCTCCTTCACCTATCTTTTGCTTTAAGTTGGCATATGACTTTGCTTTTTTATAGATATGCCTTTCTTACAGCAATCCTGTACCCACATAAAAGCTGCATTTTCAATAAAAGTTAAAAATTATTTTTCAGAAGTCCAAGGTGTTTTTTTAAAATATATTTTATTGATTTTTTGCAGAGAGGAAGAGAGAGGGATAGAGAGTTAGAAACATCGATGAGAGAGAATCATTGATCAGCTGCCTCTTACACACCCCCTATTGGGTATGTGCCTGCAACCAAGGTACATGCTTTTGACCGGAATTGAACCCGGGACCTTTCAGTCCGCAGACCGACGACACTCTATTCATTGAGCCAAAGGGGTTTCAGCAAGTCCAAGGTTTTTGCAAGTGCTGATGCAGCTGCAGCAAGGGCCTCATAAATCTCCATTTCTTTTTTTTTTACATGCTCCTTAATGCTGGATTCATTTACCTCAAAATGGTGGGCTACCACAGCTGCAGACCTCTGTCTATGACTCATGTCAAGCACTTCAGCTTTTTTTTGTAAAGACATGACTTTTCTCTGCTTTTTGGGAGCACTGCCAGCATCATTAGTGGCACTTCATATGGGTGCCATGGTGTTATTCATTGTATATGGTACTGCACTGAACACAATGTAAAATAAGCAAGATGCTCGAGAGATCACTTTTTACCGATACGCAGTGTATTAGAGAGACAACTGCTAACACAGAGATGATTAGCAGCATCACAAGGCATTTTAAGCAGATACTTGTAATAGACTCACCACAGTAGCAACAGGAGGTGACTAGGAAAGTATTACAGTAGTTCAATATATCCTGCAGTTAATTTTATGCAGTTATGATTTAACAGTGCATCTTTCAACTGTGAATGGCATTATGTATTATCTATGTTTGCATGTTTTGAAAAATTTAAGTTTTTATATTGGATTTGTGTATATTTTATGTTAGTAAATAATAAAATAGACTGGTATCTACATATATTTTATGCATTCATGATATGCCTAACTCTTTTACTTTTTATTAATTTCTTTTTTTATTGTTTAAAATATTACATATGTCTTTTTCCCCCCCTATCAACCCCTTCCCAGCCACTCCCACCCCCTATGAAAAGCCCCCACCACCCCAGAGTCTGTGTCCATTGGTTATACTAATATGCATGCATAGAAGTCCTTTGGTTGATCTCTTACATCCCTACTCTTCCCTGCCTTCTCTCTGAGGTTTGATAAACCATTCGGTGCTTCTCTGTCTCTGGATCCATTTTTGTTCATCAGTTTATGTTGTTTATTATATTCCACAAATGAGTGAGGTTATGTGATACTTATCTTTCTCTGACTGGCTTATTTCACTTAGCATAATGCTCTCCAGGTCCATCCATGCTGTTGCAAATGGAAAAAGTTTCTTTTTTATAGCATCTTATAGTATTCCATTATGTGAATGTACCACAGTTTTCTAATCCATTCATCTGCTGATGAGCATTTAGGCTGTTTCCAAATCTTAGCTATTGTAAATTGTGCTACTGTGAACATAGGGGTGCATATATCCTTTCTGATTGGTGTTTCTGGTTTCTTGGGATATATTCCTAGAAGTGGGATCACTTGGTGAATTGGGAGTTCCATTTTCAATTTTTTGAGGAAACTCCATACTATTTTCCACCGTGGTTGCATCAGTCTGCATTCCCACAAGCAGTGCACGAGGGTTCCTTTTTCTTCACATCCTCATCAGCCCTTGTCATTTATTGATTTGTTGATGATAGCCATTAACTCTTTTTATTTTTTATATTTCTACATGGTTTATCTGTGAGTTTTTTCACATTGCAAATCTCCAAAAAATTTTCCCATATATTTATTTAAAGAAATTAGTGTTGCTCAGAGGTCAATTGTATATTAATTAAGTTGGAAATTGTTAAGAATTAATGACACTCCAGTTATAGATTATTTCATAAGGCTTTGATTCTGTCTGATACAGAACATATATAAACTTAGCTAATTTGCCAGTATATACCTTGCTACAAAAATTTTTCCCATGATTTACACCTATCTCGAAATTACATTCTGTTCTTTTTCTGAAATTTATCTATAGACCTCCTATTTCTACAATCTCTTCAAACAATAAGCTCACTTTCAATGAAAGTTTTCTGTGCATGCCTGTTCAAGTGTACGCAAAGCATTCTTTCTAAACATTTGGAAATGGTCACACACAATTTAGGAAGTAAGTTTTTAAGAGAAGCTAAATGAGTATATAAGATGATCACAAATATGAGGGGAAATAACCATGAAGGTAATAGAGAAGAAATATATAAAATTTTCCCCAACTGTTGTTGTTTATCTCCCCGCCCCTCAATCTATCACCTTACACACATTATTTATCAGGAAAAGAGGGGGGGGGGGGGAATTGGAGAATTGAGAAATGATAAATTGATGGACATAGAGAAGCTAAATATATACATACACACAGTGATAAATCATAAAGCATTGACATTTGAGGAGCATTCTATTACCATATTGAATTTGTAGCTCATAAATAATGTTTTAGTATGTCATATATTATATACAATAGATTTATAAGTACTATTTCTATTCAGGTCCCTGAGTTCTTTTCTCTATATTTAGTACATAATTTTGGTTATTGTTTTGAGAAATAATTTCTTACAGGATCATCTATTAATGAAAATATGGTCAGGATATCTTATCTGTTTTGTGTTTAAGAATATTGTAAAATGTAAGTTACCATAGAGTATAGGTACAAAAATTAGAACATATTAGAAAATATCAAACTTAATGAGTCTCAGTTTCTTTTTAGCAGGTCAATAAAAAATAGCTTTTAGATTTTGTTGATGATTTCCTATAGATTAACCACACATTGTAATTAAGAAAGTCATATTTATTAGAAAACTTTAAAAGTTATTTTTCTTTCACTGAAGAGTGTATGTACCTTTTATAAGGATAAAATTGATGAAAATGGGGAGTTTATACCTTATTTCTTCTTCTTTTATAGGTTTTAAAACGACCAGAATATTTTGGGAAGTTTGGTAAAATACATAAAGTTGTCATCAATAATAGCACATCATATGCAGGTTCACAGGTAACTAACTAGGGATTTTTGCCTTTCCTGTGGTTGCGGTTTGATCTGGGCTGTTCAGAAAGAAAATTTATTTTTGTGATTAGAAAGCTTGAGGGCCAAGTACTTAAATAGTATAGTGATCTCTGTTGATGGGGTGGGGCAATTTTTGGTGCTCATAGATTGGACCCTTCCCGGACTTAATGAATTGCTAGGAATAAATAGGGAAGTGGTAAAACAAAGATTTGGTGGTTTGTTTGAAGGGGAGGAGAAGTTGAGTCTATTGTTAGTCTAATAATTAGGTAATGATTCCTAATTAATATTTTCAGATATTGAAAACTTAATAGAGCATCTTTCTTATGCTCCTCAAATGTCTGCTATTATCAGACAGATTGTTCTTACAAAGTGCATTGATTTTGGGGAGAACATTATTTGACACAGTGTCTTCAAATCTTAGTTTTTAAAATCTAACTCTCAAAGTTTGCCAGATGACTTTAAAAGAATAAGTGCCAATCCAAGGATTATTTAAAAACAAACAAACAAAAAAACAGAGCAGAGAAGGCAAAGCACATAAGTTTCATTTTATTTTATTTAAATAAATATATTTTTACTGATTTCAGAGAGGCAGAGAGAAGGAGAGAGGGATAGAAACATCAGTGAGAGAGTATCATTGATCAGCTGCCTCCCGCGCACTAGGGATCAAGCCCACAACCTGGGCAGGTGTCCTGACCCAGCGATCAAGCCTGCAACCTTGGCATATAGGGAAAACACTCTAACCATTTGAGCTACCAAAGATGATATTTTATTCATACATATTTTAGTGTACTTAAAAAAAGATTAAATTCATTAAGTATGATTGATTTACAATGAGCTAGTATATGATTTAATTAAAGCTACTACAACTTATAATTATTGTGATTATTATTAATGATAGTAAGTAGTAAAGGCTTTTAGAATTTCCTAGGCAAGTTTCAAGATAAATTTTTTTATAATGTTTTTATTGAATTTGAAAGTAATAACAGTGAGTTTTCATTTTAGGGTCCAAGTGCCAGTGCTTATGTAACCTATATCCGGTCAGAAGATGCACTCAGAGCCATACAGTGTGTCAACAATGTGGTGGTAGATGGCAGAACACTTAAGGTAATACGGTCCTCTTGATTTATTTTGTTTTAAAGAGGAAAGGATAAAATGTAGTAAGGAGAGAAGTAGCTAGCATTTACATATTACATTTGAAGAGTGGCTATTTAAAGATTGCTTCTTAGGCATTCATACCAACCTATGGCAGCTAGTTTGTTTACTGCTGACTTACGTAAAGTTCTGTTTTGTCAGGTATGAACAAACATTTTAATATTAGGGGATAACCTTTTAAAATCTCCTATATTTACATATTTTATAAAAAAGGAATCTATTATCAGAAATAAATAATAGTTCTAATTTGTTGTCATTAAATATTTGGACATTTATCAATGCATGTTTGAGTGAAGGGTCCCACCAAGCAATCCTATATAATAAAACCCTAATATGCAAATTGACCAAACTATAGAACAATTGGTGGCTTGATACACACTGACCACCAGGGGGCAGATGCTCAACACAGGAGCTGCCCCCTAGTGATCAGTGTGCTACCACAGGGGGAATGACTCTCAGCCAGAAGCCAGGCTCATGGCTGACGAGCACAGTGGCTGTGGCAGGAACCTCTCCTACCTCCATGCAGGCAGGCAGTAAGGAGCAAGGGGTCCTGGACAGTGAGAGGGATGTCTGCCTGCTTCTTAGGCCTAATATCCTGGGCTTAAGACATCCCCTGAAGGGACCCGGACTTTTAGAGATGCAGGCCGGGCTAAGGGACTCACAACCACTCTCCCCCAGTGCTTGAATTTTCTGCACCGGGTCTCTAGTGCTTTATATAAATAGAAGAAGAATGGCAAAATTAGAAAAAGGAAGTTGCCTAACCACACATAAATGCAATATTTTGTTTCTCTTCTGATGGCTAGGGAAGAAGATTTGGATGCTCAAGTCCTAGAAACCATAGACTGAGATGTTTTCTTTAGTTCTTACAAATGAGCATCGTCTTTAATTAATCCTGCTAGTAATAGTTTATTTCTCTAGTATTCATAGCTGTACTTCTTGTTTTGTTATGTCTGTGTCTCATTTTAGGTGAAGTGAAATCACAAAACATGGAAATTCTCATTGTGGTGTTATTTTACATTTTGGGTCTTTTTTTTCTCCCTCCCCTCCCCTTCCTGCAGGCATCTCTAGGTACAACAAAATACTGCAGTTACTTCTTAAAAAATATGCAGTGTCCAAAGCCTGACTGCATGTATCTACATGAATTGGGGGATGAGGCGGCCAGCTTCACAAAAGAGGAAATGCAGGTAGTCACGTATTGTGAATTCTCAAATTTGCAGAAAAAGGGAGGATTCTTCTTTATAAGTTAAAATTGCTAAAGTGGAGGTTTTATTATTATTTTTTAATTGGCATTACTTTAAAGTAGCATTTTCTAAACTGTGTTCTATGGAATGTCAGTTATTATATTGTAACAATAAAAATGGGTCTTTGGTCCACTAAATTTGAAAATGCTAGGTTAATGAAGATAAATAGGTTTTCTTTCCTACAGGACTTCTCAGAGTCTTTAATATGCTAAAACATACCCAAGATAGGAATGTACATTTCAAACTTTTATTGACCAAGGAAAGCATTCTGGGAAATGCTACTTTAAGGGGAATGCCAGCAAAATGACAGCTAAGTGTGATACTATAATTATGACTTTTGGTTTTCCCCCCTAACCTCTACTCTTTACAGAGCATGCTAGAGAAGAATATTCTAGCAAATAATGCTGATAAGCTCACATTTTTATAAAATGATTCTTCCTCCCGTGAAAGTATTGTAAAGGGTAAATTGAAGGCTTATTATTTTATGTTCATTTTTACATTTCCTCTTCTCCTGTCTGTCTCCTTTCAGTTTTTAGTATAAACATGTCTTTACAAGTAAAAATGTTGACTATGCGGCATATTAAATGAGGATTATACCAAAGCACAATGCTGCACTTCCCTTTTATAGATGAGGACTTCAGATTGTTGCTGTGGACTTTTGCAGGAATACTTCTCATTTAGAAGGTGGGGGGCATTGATTGCTACCTTTCATTCTCCAGGTCAAACTAGAAGAAGTCTAGTAGGGATTTCTTTAAGAGCAGATTGTTAAATAAAATAAAATGAAAGAATACCCTTTTTAATTTGGAATTATTGCAGATTAAATCCCATTATTTAATACATTGGAATTTCTTGACAGTAATGTCTTTATGATCTTTATGGAATGACTTATTTCTTATATACAATAAGTGCTTTTTTACTTAATTTTTCTTTTTACTGAGCTTTCTTGGATGAAATCTAAGGTTTAGCTATTTCAAACTGAATTTTGACTAGTGGGAATATGCTTTACTCACAGGTATCAAAGACTTTCTAAGCTCCATTTTATCTCATTTTTAAAGAGCATTGCACAGAAGAAAATGGATGACACTCGAAACAAATATAACATTGTATGTCAATTGTAATAGAAAAATAAAGAAAATTTTTTTTTAAAGAAATGGATGGACGCTCCCTTAGAACTTAATTTGTAATGGGATTTAAACTGTTTTATGAAATGCCCCTGTAGAATCAATTGAATATCAGTTTGAACTCTTTGTGGCCAGTGAACACCATAATGTCTGTTGAAGTATTGATTGCAGAAAGAATTTTTAAGGCTCTTATGTGTTAAAGATGTAAAATCTACATCTAACTGTATTTTTTCTTAGTAACTACTTTAAAATTCATTTTGTACTGTTGTCCAGACTTCATCTTGCTCTTCTTTACCTGAGTTTAAATTTTCTTTGTAAAAGAATTTCTTTGTTAAAATACTTTCTCAAAGTAGAAAGAAAAGTGGAACAAGTATATCATGGCAAAAATCAGCAAATTTTCTTTTTGTTACTGTATACTCACAATTCAGAGATCCTCTGAAATATTTAGAGATCCAATTGAAACAGGCAAGAGCCCTCTCAGAACAGGGAATGATGCATTGTGCAGTATGTGTTATACAATTGTGCACGATTAGATGATATTGCCCTGCCCTTGCTTGTTTTTATTGTTTGGGGGCGTTTATCCTCTCTTTTCTGTTCTGGTTATGTTTTTTTCATAACATTTAGACCACATTTTTAAAGCAATTAACAATCCTGAAGGTAAGTAAATATGTCATTCTAGTGCATATAGTAAAAAGTTATTCAAATTATAATTATTTCATTGTAATGTATTTTCACATATGATTAGTTTTCAGTCAGTCTTTGCCTAGTTTCTCCCATAATGTTTGTGACATTGTCTTCTGATATGTATTTACTACATATTTACTACATATGTATTTACTACAATAAATACAGAATTTTCTTCATTGTGTATAGTGCAGAGATTGCCAAACTTTTTCTGTAAATGTCCAATTCATAAATATTTTAGGCTTTCTCAGCCACATGGTCTCTGTAGTAGTTACTCAACTATGCTGTTATAGCACAAAAATAGCCATAGACAATTCATAAATAATAGACAATTCATAAATGATAGTTCATAAATGAATGAGCATGACTGTTCTAATAAAACTTTATTTTCAAAATCAAAGTGACTGTTTGTAAATTGACAACCTCGGGTCTAGAGTTTAAAATACATAAAATGTTAGGTAGAAACATAAACATTTTAATCGAGAAAAAGAAATTGACTGGGTTTCAATAATCTTTGGAAAATTTAATAATGGTCTATTATAATATTTAATTTTTATATGGAGATGGGGTTTAAAAGTAGGTGTTTTTTTTTAGGTAGCAAAAATATTGTCACTTAATACACTTTTCTACACAAGTTGTTGATCAAATGCCTTTATTAATGGAATATATTAGTTTGTTGTTTTGTTGGAAGAACTTTCATTGGTCTAGAAAAAGTTTTGTGCTACCCTCCTGACAGGTTTCTTTGACATGCAAAACCTTTAGTTATATTATTTAGTATATCTTTAATAATTCAATATTTTATACCAGCCATTTTGTGAACCCCACTGCAGTTTTAATTTCTTCTTCCATTAGGCAGGTAAACACCAAGAATATGAACAGAAGCTACTACAAGAATTATATAAATTAAACCCCAATTTTCTTCAATTGTCTACGGGTTCAGTTGATAAGAATAAGAACAAAGTGACCCCACTGCAGAGGTATGATACGTAAGTACGGATGTTGGTATAATCAGACACCTTATGTTCTTGTCAGTCAATCTCTTTTCCTTCTACATCATTTTCAGATTGAACCTTATTTCAATGCCTTATCAGTTTTATGCAGAACTGTTGCACTATTTAGGAAATGTTGAATCAAAATTCTGGGTTTGAATAATTGTTGCCTGCTGATCACTGGTGATAATTTAGATGAGCCTCTTGAAGGCTTCACATTTGTATTGAGTTGCAGATGACCCTCAGCCTTAGGAACACCCTAATTGATAAAAAGAAAATTAAGGGATGTTGGTTTTTAAAAATCTTTGTCACTTAATTGAGGTTTTTCCCTTGACATAATGAGGGGAACAAAATACTGTAAAAGGGAAGGGGGGCTATTGAAGTATTGTTTGTTGGGGACACATATCGATATTTATGGTTGTCTAGTCTCAGGAATCACTAAGGTCTTATATTCTCTGAGTGAGGAGGGTGTCTGATATTCAGAATCTTATTCATCTTAGGTGACAACTTGTTTTTGTGCAGATCTGTGTTGTGTCAGTGTTTAAACAAATTGATAGTCTTAAATACCAAGTCTCATTCTGAAGTGGTACACTTTGCATCTTTTATTACATTTCGTTATGGCCTGTCAGAAAATGGTCTAATTGCCGAAACCGGTTTAGCTCAATGAATAGAGTGTCGGCCTGAGGACTTGAAGGGTCCCAGGTTCAATTCCGGTCAAGGGCATGTACCTTGGTTGCGGGCACATCTCCAATGGGGAGTGTGAAAGAGGCAGCTAATTGATGTTTCTCTCTCATCAATGTTTCTAACTCTCTATCCCTCTCTCTTTCTCTCTGTAAAAAATCAATAAAATATATTAAAAAGAAAGAAGGAAAATGGTCTGATTAATAGAAACAATAATTTTAAGGTTATACTCTATCCTGAATGTTCCTTAAGTTTGATGAGTTAGGATCTTTGTTTATTTTTTTAATTTGGTCTGTTTACTTTATATAAAATGAATTCACTTAAAGTAAATAGCTATAATTAATTTTAGATACGTTGATTTATTTTTTAAAATATTTTATTCCAAAGTTAAATTTGCTTTAGTGATGTTTTAAATGTCTGGTTATTATATGTATAGTCCAATGTCTATTTAGGACTAAACTAATGTAAGGGCCATTTTTCAAGTATAGGCAATAACTACATGAATTATTGTCAATCAATTTCTTCAAAATTGTATTTAAATTCTTGAAGTCCTTGTTAAGTTTCTTTGCTTTAATAGTAAAGAGTATTTAAAAATAATTCTTGTTTATACACATACATACACACGTACAAGTTTATATAAATATATATATATATATATATATATATATATATATATATATACACACATACACACATACACACACACACACACACACACACACACACAAACCACAGAGTAACATAATGTTACTGTATAATAAACTGTGAACTCTGTAAATATCAAAGTTAATAATAAAAGCTAAGTGCAGCCGAAACCGGTTTGGCTCAATGGATAGAGCGTCGTCTTGGGGATTGAAGGGACCCTGGTTCGATTCCGGTCAAGGGCATGTACCTTGGTTGCGGGCATATCCCCAGTAGGGGGTGTGCAAGAGGCAGCTGATCGATGACTCTCATCGTTGTTTCTAATTCTCTATCTCTCTCCCTTCCTCTCTGTATAAAATCAATAAAATATTTTTTTTTTTTTAAAAAAAAGCAAAAAAAAAAAAAAAAAGCTAAGTGCAAAAGAGATTCTTTGGATAACCTTTGACCCTTCTCATTGATTTTTTTTTTTTTTTTTTTACCTGTGTGTTTAATATGAACCATATGCTATTATTTACCTCCTTGGTTGCTGACTCTGTAGTCCTTCTTTGAAGAATAGTAAAAATTATTTCAGATACTTTTAATCATTGTTCTCAATAAAAGTATAATTTGAACCCAGCCTGTGTGACCCAGTGGTTGAGTGTCAATCTGTCAATCTCTGAACCTGAAGGTCATGGTTTGATTCCCTGTCAAGGCATATGCCTGGTTTGTGAGCTGCCAAGGCAGCTAGGGCTCATCATTGATGTTTTTATCTCCCTCCCTCTCTCTCTCTCTCTCTCTCTCTCTCTCTCTCTCTCTCTCCCTGTCTCTTCAATCAATTTTTCAAAAGTCATTTGAATTAAAATCATATTCTGGGCTTATAGTACCTAGAAAACTCAGAGCAGAAATTTAAATTTTAGATTATCTCTTTGAGATAACATTTGTGTGTTTTTTTAATATAATATATAACAGTAATATATTTTTATTGAAGGAAATTTAAAATATATACAAAGAAGTAAATATATGTAATCGCAGTACTTGGGACATTTTTCTGAAAATTATTTGATGTATTTTCTAGTAGTATTTTTTCTTTCTGTCAATAAATCCAATCTATAGATTGTTGACCAATCTATTTATATTTCACAATATTTGAATTCATAAATTTGATTTAGAAGAATACATATTAGACAATATAATACTGAATCATCTTAACTGTTAGCATGTATATATCTCTAAGTGATTTGTGTCCCTCAGGAAAGATTTTTTCTTATTTTATTGTAGTGGACCTCCAACTGAGAATCCCTATGCTAAAAATTAAGGAACAGTGTTAGAAAGTGGTACTAGCAGGTCCTTGTCCTTATCCTAATTTTTTACTTCTATAAGGATATCCTCAATGTATTATGCACTCTTAAGTATGATTTTGACCATTTGAGATAAATATTTTTAATCATAATATGAAAATACCTTATTTCTAATTTATTGGACTTTTTTCTTTAGATTGGAAGTGAAAATAGGAATTTACCAAATGTCTTTTTAACATTTATAACAAGTATTTAGCTTTTCTTTAATTTACTTTTTGTAATCAGTTATAAATAGATTTACTAATACTTTATTGGCTTTGTCTTTATACAGAATATGGTCTGATTACATTCATAAATGTTTTAGTAGCAGGAGAGTAGTTTACTACGGGCCACAAGTTGTAGAGGGAAGACCAAAGAGGATTTATTTAATTTTATTATTTTTTATATATTTCTATTGATTTCATAGAGGAAGGGAGAGAGAGAGAAACATCAATGATGAGAGAGAATCATTGATTGGCTGCCTGCTGCATGCCCTCTTCTGGGGATGGAGCCTGAAATCCTTGGCATGTGCCTACCCTGGGAATCAAACTATGACCTCCTGGTTCATAGGTCGATAATCAACCCCTGAGCCAGGACCCAAGGAGGCTTTAAAACAGTGTGCTCATTTAATAACTGTCCAAAGCCAATGCTATAGAATATCTGCTGGAATGTGGTTTTATGCATTGCATAACTGCATGATAAAGGAATTTTTTTTCCTAGGGGTGGATGAGGAGTTGATTTTAGTTTGTTTAAGTAGGTCCCCAAAATGTATTAAGGGCGATTGATGTCCTAAGTTAGAGAGAATTGTGGTTTGCTTACTTGTTTTGGCAAGCTTCTATAGCTTTCTTACTTTCCATGCTAATCCCTACAAGAGAGTAAGTTTGACTGTCAGTGATACCAAAGGTCTGCTTTGGTCTCCATTTCCATGGCCACCATACAGGGTACAGCAGTAAGAATAAATTTGTAGATAGGTTTTCTTCTTCCCACAGGGTAAAACTTACCAAGTTAGAATGATGAGCAGCATAAGTCTTTCCATGGTTCTACCCAAGATAAATTTTTAGTTCAGATAAAGTGAGAATTAGACTTTATAGGAGGGGAAAAAAGGAAATTAATGGTTTCTTTCCTCTTTCCTTGGCATTCCTATATAGTGAGAAGCAGTTTTAGAAGAATTGTTAGAAAGCAAAACCTGGAACCTTACACACTGACACTAAACTTACAATGTAGTTTTTTCTTATTTCTAATTAAGCCAGAGTACAAATATTAAGAGTACTACTAATCCCAATTTGTCTTTAGTCCTGTCTCACTTAAATGAACAATAAATTCTAAAATGGAATGGGACATTTTCTTTCTCCCCTCCATATTATGAATTTGAAAGTATATCTGTCAGATTGAGTATTGATTATAGATGTGCTATTTTTCTATATTAATAAGTTACTTTGAAATGATAAATAAAAATGATGAGATTGAGGAGTGATATCACTACTGTACCATAGTGATATTTAAGAACTGGGTATTTTGAATTTAACTTTGGCACTTAAAATACCTTCATATAGATTGAGACACTATTTGTTCACCAACTGAAGACTTTGGGGCAAGTTAGAAGCCAACCAAGTTGGCCAAGCATCTAAAGATTCAAATGGAGGCACAGTTGTGTCAGCCTGCCTGCTTGCAGATAGTTGTGAATTTTGGTTTCTTTACCTATAAAACAAAATATTTTAATTTTATATTAATGATCTTTCAAGCTCTAAAATCCAGTACATTCAGAGACTTTGAGGAAACTTGATTTGATAGATGTCTTTTCACAGTGTTGCTCTTCACTTCCTCTAGTACAATGATCATTAGATATCAGGCATCTCAATTTAGATGAATTGATTTAGAATCTCCAGGGACAGAACCTGGAAAATATTTTAATTAAATAAATATAAACATATGTATTTGGGTGTTTGTTTGTTTTTTTGTTTGTTTTCTTTGTGTGTGTGTGTGTGTGTGTGTGTGTATTGTTTTTTTTTTTTATTAAGGTATTATATGTGTACATATCTTACTATTGCCCCCCCCCACTCTCATACATGCCCTCACCCCCCAGAGTTTTGCATCCATTGGTTATGCTTATATGCATGCACACAAATCTTTCAGTTGATCTCTTATCTTGTTTTTTGAAGAGCTTTATAGCACTGGATTTCAACTGCTGGGTTAACTGAAAAATATTTACTCCTGAGAAATCTGAATAATGTTCATCATTATTTCAGAACTATTTTAAGACTAGAATTAAAAAAAAAAATTAGTAAGATTGTTTGTATCAAAACATGTTTAGGAGTTTTGATCTATAGGTATTTAAACACACATCATTACTTTCTGGAA